TACATGCAATTGTGCCAGCTAGTCATCAAACTGCTTACAGGGGAAGAGGAGGCGGTCGATGCTATCAAAATGTTCTAGGAATTTGTGATTTCAACATGATATTCACTTTTRTTTGGGCTGGATGGGAAGGTATAGCGCATGATTCTAGAATACTTAGGGAAGTTGCTTTTAACCCAAGATCCGATTTTCCCTTTCCACCACAAGGTATAAACCATTCTCAATTTGTTATTTGTTTTTTTTTATTTCTATATTATATGATTGATGTGGGTGGTTTTCAGATAAATATTATCTTTGTGATGCTGCGTACGCCAATGCTCGTGGATTTTTGGCTCCATATCGTAACACAAGGTATTGGTTGGCAGATTTTCGACGTCGACGCGCTTTGACTAAAGAAGAAAGGTTTAATCATGCACATACCCAACTCAGAAATGTTATTGAACGTGCTTACGGTGTCTTGAAAGCGAGATTTCCGATCTTAAAGCAAATGGCTCCCTTTCCATCTACAACACAAAGAAATGTGGTAATTGCTTGCTTTGCAATACATAATTTCATCAGAAAATATAATATTCAAGACCAGTTGTTTATGGAGTGCAATGAGGATAGTATATTTAACAACGAAGAAGAAGTCGAAGGAAATGGAGAAGAAGAATTGGACATTTCACAATGGGGTGCTAATAACACTCAATATATGGCTACTTTGAGAGATGGAATTGCAAATAGTTTGGTCAATAATGTTTGAACTTGGATTTTTGTGTTTGAACTTGTATTTGAACTTGGCTACTATGTGTTTGAACTTGGATTTATGAATTTATGTTTTGTTATTTAAATATTTTATTTTTTCAGAAATATCATTTGCCTTAAAAAATGAACAACAGTATACTAAACAGCCCATAGTTAATACTCAGGGGTAAATTGGTCATTTTTGTTATTCAGACTGTTGATTCAGATAGAAAAGTAAACAGCAACCCAAATTTATCCAGACAGCCAAATTATCCAGACATACAAATTTATCCATACAGGACTTAATAGAAAATTTGGTAAACAGCTCCTTAGTCGTTTCAGCAGCATATCGTTTCAGCAGCATATTCAGATTTTCCATCCGTGACCCCGATTGCTTTGATAAAACTTTTAGAATAATTAGGATCAATTTTGGTCATAATAATCAGTAAATTATATTTTATTTGAGATTTTATAAAATTGGTAATTTGGGGTTTTTGCTCAAGCGAGATGTTACAAGTAGCTATGATTAAATCCATTAGGATTCTTCTGGACATAGCTGCGTACGAGATATGGTAGATGGATGTTAAAACCGTGTTTCTTAACGAAACTCTAAATGACGACGTATATATTGTACAACCAGAAGGTTTTAAACATCTAAAGTATCCTGAAAAGGTATGAAAATTGCAGAGGTCCATTTATGGACTAAAGCAAACATCTCGTAGTTGGAATCTTCGTTTTGACGAGAAAATCAAGGAATTTGATTTTGTAAAAAACGAAGATGAACCTTGTGTATACAAGAAGGTGAATGGGAGCATAATAATATTCTTGATCCTATATGTTGATGACATTGATTATTGGAAACGACATCCCAAAGCTTGAAGGAGTAAAAGTATGTCTAGGGAAGTGTTACGGATGAATGATCTAGGAGAGGGTATCATATATCCTTGGAATAAAGATCTATCGAGATAGATCTAAGCGCTTAATTGGATTAAGCCAAAGTACATACACTGACAAGATCTTGAAACACTTCAAGATGGAGGGTTCCAAGAGAGGAAACTTGCCGATTGTCCATGACACACAACTGAGCAAAACTTAGTGTCCTAGCACTAAAGAGGACATGAACTGTATGAAAGGTGTTCCCTACGCTTCAGCCGTCGATTCAATTATGTATGCCATGTTATGTACTAGACCGGACGTCTCGTATGCCCTAAGCAAGGTGATACTCACTGGGTAGCAGTAAAAAACATCCTAAAGTACCTGAGAAAAACTAAGGATATGTTCTTGCTATACGGCGGTCAAGAAAGAGATCCGTGTATCCAAGGGTATACAGATGCTAGTTTCCAAACTGACCATCCTGACTTTAAATCACAGTAGGGGTATGTGTTTGCATTAAAGAGAGGAGTTGTGAGCTGGAAGAGCTACAAGCAACATACAATAGCAGACTTAACTACATAATCAGAGTATATTGCAGCGTCGAACGTCACGAAGGAAGTTGTTTAGATGAAGAAATTCATCACAAAACCTAAGAGTGGTTCCTAGTATATATGATCTTGTCAATATTTATTGCAACAATAAGGGTGCCATAGCTCACGAAAGAACCAAGGTCACATCAACGCTTGAAGCATATTGTAAGACGATACCACCTAATTCGAGATATCATTGATCGAGGTGACATGAAAATATGTAGAATTCGATCAGAAGATAATCTAGCAGACCCTCTAACCAAGCCTATGAGTCAAAGCAAGCATGATGCTCATACCAATTCAATAGGCTTGAAGTTTTGCAAAACACTAGTATGATTTGTAATTTTAGTAAACTTTAAATTATGTGAACATAAAACAGTTTTGTTTTTATCTGTTTTAGCATACTGGATATGAATATTTACATTAAACATTTATGTGTTCATTATTAGCATGCTTAAGTATCCTTAAATAAGAATGATGATCATATTATTTAAGACCGTCCTTGATCGATTATTACCAGGGGACTAGTAATAAATAAAGATCATTGTGAAGTTTGGTCATAAGTCCAAGTTGGAAGTGCAATGCGTGCAACCAGAGTCACATACCTGTCTAAGGGACATGTATTGGACAAGACCCACAATCAGGATCACCTCATAGATCGGCGTCATAAGATGAGTCCTGAAATGGTGGACGCTCCTATCCTCAGACCTGAGATGTACATTGGTACCTACTGCAGAAGGAGTGTTATACTTTGATGTAGTCTAACGTTATCCTTAACCGGGTAATCATAAGGGCAATGTTAGGTATGACACGAATTGTGTATCATGTACATGTAATATGATATTTGCTCCTCCAAATTTGAGAGAGATATTTTTGGGCCCCTCGATAACATAGTTTGATTCACATGGCCATAGACAAGTGTATTAGTTAAATTAATAGCACATGTCTGAATCAAATATGTTGAAATCGAGAAACATAATCTTTGAACTCTAAATGATGAGATAGATCTATGTCTTAAGTTCAAAACAAAATATCGTGAAGCAAAAGGATAGAGGAATGATACTACCATATAATTGATTAAATCAATCAAGATTGCTCAAAGGAAAAACACATTTACATAGCCTTGGGGTGGTGGCGTGTTGCTAAATGCTTACCATCGTTTGTGTTACTATGTGTCATGTGCAAGTGGGAGAATGTGAGTTATTATATTCCCACGACATGTGTCACACAACACTGCTAAGGAGTATGTAAACTTATAGGGTTGCACACAAAAAATACGTTTGCTTCCATTTGAAAGTAACCTAAAAGTCATGATTGACAGTTAAATAATTATTCTTGAAGAATAATTATAGAATGTGTTAAAAGATAATTAGAAGAGTACTCGCGCAATGCAGCGAGACACATCTCAGTTTTAATGTTCTATTTTATTTTTTGTCTCTGTCGATGTTATAATACATTTTTATGTGTTTTTAATAAAACATTAATGATTTTATTTTTGAATAAAATATAAATTTGAAGATATCATAAAAATTTGAAAAAAGAATATATCAATGTTAATATCAAATCAACTATTTAAAAGTTCTCATTTTTATGTAATTTCTTTAATTTATTTTTTTAATTATAATTTAATTTAAGTTTAATAACAAATTAATTTATTTTTGGTTTAATAATGTAAACATTTTAATAGATAATAATTAAGTATTCTATTATAACTCAATGATTATCTTAATTATATTTTAGATTTTTTATATTTAAAATGATATGTTTATCTTGTATTTGATTATGTTTATCTGCAGTTAGTTACACGAATTCAGATATAGAACTTTAATAAGTTGTACTTACACACAATTTACTTGCAATCTTGAGTTTTAAGTAATATGCATTAATAAACAGTACTTTACGCATAAAAAATGGTTTTTAAGAGTTTTTGTCAAATGTTTTATAATATAGTATAGATTATGATAATTACATGATATTATCTGTAAATAAGCATAATTATTTAAAGTTTTAAATAATTATATAATTATTTACAGATAAATATCAAACTTTATTTAGAGTTATAAGGTGACTATGATACCAGCATATATAAATAGGGTGTGAGACCAATTCAGTTAAGGGAATTCAATTCTCTGAATTTGGTTAATTAATCAACATATACATATTTAGATTTAAAGTTCTTTTTGGGCTAGCACCTGGGAAGATCTACGCGTGTTCGTGTGTGGATCAATTGTAGAGGAAACCGCGTTTGGTTTCTAAGAGCTGCATCAGATTTTTCACTAGATCAAAGGTACATTTCTAAACACCCTATGATGTATTATAATTTAATTAGATATCTCATTAGATCCGGCTTTGAGTTTTAGATTTAGAAAAGTTTTTTTTTTTGAATTATTGTACCAAAATTTTATTTTCCGCTGCGTTTTTTGTTACAAGTTTCTTTTAAAACCCAACAATTACACATATAAAAATCTTTTAATAATAAAAAAAATGTTAATTATCTTTAAAATAAATAGAGATAAATGTAATTTTAATTTTATAATATTTAATTTTAACGAAATATCGAAAAATTTGATAGATATATAATAAAATTTTATAATGCCCGTGTTGTTAGAAGATGCACCAACCGAGCCTAAGGAATTTGAAGATGAGTTTGTGACTGACTCAGCCGTCAAAGAGGAAAAAAATAGATGATGAGTCCACGTGTCAATATCCCATTGGTGGACCCCACAATCCCGGAACACAAAATTCTTGCCCATTTTTTCCAAAAAAATTCCTTATTTAAACCCTTGCGTTAGACAGAGATGATCCAATTTCAACTTTGGAGTTACGACTAATTAGTAATTACTACTGATAGCATCTTCCTCTTCCTCTTCCTATAACCTCAAAACCTTTTAATCCTGCAGTGATGGCTGGCGGTGGACTAGCGGTAGCCGCCGCCGGAGGTGTAGAGTTCGAGGCTAAAATCACGCCTATTGTCATCATCTCATGCATTATGGCCGCCACCGGCGGTCTTATGTTTGGTTACGATGTCGGCGTTTCAGGTAACGATCTCTACTGTAATCTGTTTCTGGTAATGGAGGTTATGATTTCCATTGACGTTTTCGCTACTTTGAGGAAATATCAAATCAGAAAACGGATCTGTTTTTCTGTACATCTGCAACGCCTTGCTTTACGTGGTGATCGTCCAGATCCAGAATTTAACAGGAAAATTGATCGGAGATTAATGAAGTTGTTAAATTCCAATAGTAGCAAAACTCTTAAGATATTGCAGTTATAAAACTAGAGAGATTTTCATTCTTCTTTCCAAATTGGATCAAAAGAGTAATGGAAATAATTTACCAAAATTGAAAGGATCATAGAGAGATTTTCATTCTTCTTTCTAAAATTACGTTGACGTTTTCAAAATAGATTAATATTAAATGTGATATGCATACAGGTGGAGTTACGTCGATGCCGGATTTCTTGAAGAAATTTTTTCCGGCGGTGTATAAGAGGACGAAGGAAGGAGACCAAGATAGTAATTACTGCAAATATGATAATCAAGGCTTACAACTATTCACTTCCTCCTTGTATCTTGCTGGACTGACTGCAACTTTCTTCGCATCCTACACCACCAGGCGGCTTGGAAGAAGGCTCACCATGTTGATTGCTGGAGTTTTCTTCATCATCGGAGTCGTTTTTAATGCCGCTGCTCAAGACCTAGCCATGCTCATTATCGGCAGAATTTTGCTTGGTTGTGGAGTTGGTTTTGCTAATCAGGTTGGTTGATTCAATTTTCATCTTTAAACTATTTTACTTTTCTTATTCATAGTGTCAAAACCAAACCAAACCAAACCAATCTAAACAAACATCTCTTTAAAATCAAAACATTGATAAAACATCAAACACATAAATACGTCTATAAACGAATCATAAACAAAATATGTAAAATAACATAAATCAAACTCAATACTATTTCATGGTTTCTAACTTTTAAATTGTTTCTAAATGATTTGAGGTTTTTAGATATTGTTTAACACAAGTCACATATAATTTTTTAACCTTTTAGGATAGAAAAAATATCAAATAAGATAAGATAACACACCCACCTTTATTAGGTTCGGATTGATCGTGTGTGAACGATATAAGATTTCAGTATGGCTTTTCAACGAAAGCTATACATACATGATTCATGAGTTGTTGGACCTAGCTATAGAGATGTTAGACATTGACTCTAAATTTATACGATGAAGACATTATTTTGCATTAGACATTAAACATGCTATAATGAACAAATATTTCTTGATACCTATACATACACAAAAGATCCAAAAAAAAGCACATTTGATAACGTCTATGTACATTTCCTTTGATTTATTATTTTTAATTGTAGGATTGTTTAATAATTAATCTGAAAGATCCAAAAATGAATGTGACATGATTGATACACATATTCACATAATCACATATTGTTCTGTTTTTATATTAAAATCTTATTTTAATTTTAATATTTTAAACCTTTTTTATGTTTATGTTTTATATTTAATTCTATTAAGGTCATATATTTTAAAAGCCAATAGTACTGGTTTAAGAGTTTAAATTATTAAACCAATAACAGTATACAACTTGCATAACATAAAATTCAAAGTTGTGATAAAACAATAATACATTTCAACAAGTTCAGATTTTAATTGGACTTCTTTAATTATCGTCATACGTAGTCATAGTCAATACTGGCAAAATTGATTTTTTTAATATGTAGGGGTCCCTTTTTCATACAGGAACTTAAAGCTCCTGTTTTAAATAATGACAACAAACTTATTGTTTTTATCATCAAAAAAACCTTCATATAGCATACCAAGTGATTATTAACTCAACTAAATTAAGCTTATTGAATAATAAAGTCGGAATAGAATAAGCTACATGTAATTGAACTTATTTTTATTATCAGGGACGGATCCAATTTTTTTTTTTTAAATTATGATATCATTTAACTATAAGAAAAAACTACATGATCCAAATTTAAACACTGTATTATTTGTATATATACTGTATATCTCTAATTAATTACTATGTATTAATAAGCATTAGTTAAAAACAATATAAATTATTCTTAATATGATATTCTGGTAGCTCTTATCCTTTCATGATCCAAAATAATAGTACATGATAAGTATAAGTAATAATAACAGCAATTATTATGCATTAAATAAAAAGATATTTCACTCACACAAAGTTGAAATAAAGCACCAAAAACTTTTCTGTAGCCTTTAAGGGAGCATATGGTCCACCACCACTGCACGTTAGCTAAGCTTAAACAACCACATTTCATAATTTGTTCCATATGATTATATATGTACATCATTACAATATCTTTCTTTGGTTTGTATTTATTTAAGTATTATATTTGATTCCAAACAATCTTGTCGACCAAACTCACATTTTCTTTCATAATTTATGGAATAAACCTATACATAATATTTAGGACGTTTAATACTTTTTAGGATATTTTAAATTAAAATGACAAAAATCAAACAATGACGTAACATATTTCGTTTAAAATGGATAAGATGTCTCCAAACTTTATCTATACCTCATCGAATGTAACAAAATAGTCCCGTAACTTTAGGAGAAAGGGTACCTTCTCACAAAGGAGGGATGGAATAGCGGTTGGATGGTTAGGATATCCTATCTTTAAAGTTAGTAAACTGCTTAATTATAAATGATAACATGTAAAAAATATTCAACTTTTATTCCTATATATGACATTTTCATTTGTCTTCTTTCACGGATTAAAAGCTTTCTAGAAACAATAAATGCTTTAAAGATTCACACATAATATCATGAAAACTAAATATTATATATTATTATAGATATAATAGTGTCATCCTAAAAAGAATCCTGATCTCATATTGTGTGTATCAATAGATAAGATAAAAAAGTCCCATCGGAGAACGAGAATCATGGGTTATGTTAATGAGAGAGAGTATATATTTAATATATGTTTGGACCACTATCGGGTTGGCGTGCTTTGAATTTGGCAATAATCATGCTTTACGAATCCTGTGACACCTTTTGTTTTCAATTACCATCATAAACCTTTACTTACGTAGGACACATATTTTTCTTACCATATGATCATGTGCATCTTTCCCATTCCTACTTTCTTGGCCTTTCTTATATACCTTTTCGATAAGGATATTACCAAGTCTTTTTGATTTAGGAACTTATATGGTTATGGATATATGGTCAATTCATTACATAAATTTAGTTAGGTTTTATTCCATGTCACAATTAAGAAGAAAAACATGATTTATTAAACTGAAGTAGGAAAATTTGTTGAAACTGAAAGTAATCATATAGAACTTTTAATGTAATGAACTTGTTTATATATAGCTACAACATGTTTTGAATGATTTGAAGATGACAAGTGATATAGTTAATAACAATAACAATAACTAATTTGTTGATTAATTGGATTGGCAGGCTGTTCCGGTTTTTCTTTCAGAAATAGCTCCCACAAGAATACGTGGAGGTCTTAACATATTATTTCAACTTAATGTCACAATTGGGATTCTTTTTGCCAACCTTGTGAATTACGGCACTGCAAAGTAAGTATAATCTCAACTTAATGTCACAACTTAGCACTTCATAATATACTGAAAGTATATACTAGAACATATAGTTATTCATATATCATGTACAATGCCAGAATTGAAGGGGGATGGGGGTGGAGACTCTCGCTAGGGTTAGCTGGAGTCCCTGCAGCGCTCCTGACAATAGGTGCACTCTTGGTGGTAGACACGCCCAACAGCTTGATTGAGCGAGGGAAGTTAGAAGAAGGTAAAGCCGTGCTTAAAAAGATCCGGGGAACTGACAACGTGGAACCTGAGTATTTGGAGCTTGTCGAGGCTAGTCGGGTCGCTAAAGAAATCAAACACCCTTTCCGTAATCTCTTGCTCCGTAAGAACCGCCCACAACTCATTATCGCAGTCGCCCTACAGGTATACTCAATGTCTTAGTTTTTTCATTCAAATTTTGACATAATATTTATTAAAGAATCTGAACCATAAAAATTGGATTTAAATGTCCGAGTGTTTCAAACACTAGTTTATAAGAACATAATTTTTATAATTTTACATCTTATATAAAAGTATTACTCTAACTTCAAAAGTTCCTACACAATATATAAACCTCCAACATAAACTTATACATGCAACAGTTCTTCCAACAATTCACGGGGATCAACGCGATCATGTTCTACGCACCTGTTTTATTTAGCACCTTAGGATTCAAGAACGATGCCTCGCTCTACTCAGCTGTCATTACCGGAGCCGTCAACGTTTTATCCACCGTCGTCTCAATTTACTCTGTTGACAAACTCGGCCGCCGAATCCTTCTTCTGGAAGCCGGAGTCCAAATGTTCTTGGCACAAGTCGTGATCGCGATCATACTCGGATTGAAAGTTTCCGACACATCCGACAATCTTGGCACCGGGTTCGCGGTACTAGTCGTGATCATGATCTGCACCTTTGTTTCTGCATTCGCATGGTCATGGGGACCGTTGGGATGGCTCATCCCGAGCGAGACATTCCCCCTTGAGACCCGGTCTGCAGGACAGAGTGTGACGGTCTGCATCAACTTGCTATTCACGTTCATTATCGCACAGGCGTTTCTATCAATGCTTTGCCACTTCAAATACGGGATCTTCTTGTTCTTCTCGAGTTGGGTGTTTGTAATGTCGATATTCGTTTGGTTTTTGGTTCCGGAAACGAAGAACATTCCGATTGAGGAGATGACAGAAAGGGTATGGAAGAAGCATTGGTTGTGGAAGAGGTTCATGAATGACGACGAATTTGATGCTCAAGATGAATTTGCCAAGAAGAATGGGCAGTTATAGATTCCTTCGTTATGTTTATGGAAAAATAGGAAAAAGAAATATATAAAAAAAAAATATATACAGAGTATGAGTATGAGTATGATGTTGGTTTTTATGAGTACGTATAATTTTGTTTTCATTTTTTTAATCGCTTAAATATATAACCGATTAAAACAAAATATATGAAGTTATAGTTTAGTGGTGGTTAACAATTTAGTTTTGGTTTAATTGTAGAGCTGAGGTTTAAGAGGATGTACTCAAAGGTGTATGTTATTGTGTAAAATAAACATTCAATAAAATAATTAAAGTAATAAATAATATTATACCGAATGCTTATTGGATAGACTCAAGAGTCTGTCTTACTTTATTGGTGGATAACGTTTTCGGTTGTTTAAATGAATTGTTGATAACATGTTACGTTTACCATGTAAGAGATTTCTTATATGCTTGTTTATTAAGATTCTCAGTTATTGATATATGTTTCTTACTAGGTAAAAAATTTTGGTCTTTGTTATGTTCATTCGGTAAGGTGGGTGATAATCGGTACACTCTCACTCGGTAAGTATTTAATAAACAACTTCATAGAGTTTTCATTTATGGGATGGGTTATCTCTTTTTTGTTTAAAGATCTTGTGATTAATGAGAATTTACAACTTTCATTCTCTTTAATTCAGTGTCTCATTTACGCGATATCTCCAAAAAGCTTTTTAAACGTTGGTTCATACGAATAAAGAACACCATTGCTCCACCTAATGTCGTCATGCATCCATCATCACCAGTTAGTTCTCTCTTTCATCTATATTTTTGTTTTTTGGTTATTTGCATAGAGAGCGACACTTGTATCATAACATTCGTCCTTTATTAAAAGCTTACCGGGTCATTGATCTTACTGGATTGTCATGGCAAGTGCCGATATCTTACTCGGTAAGAGGTAAGACCATGAGCAAAAGTTTTATCTGATAAATAAGAATAAAAACTCTAACAGATAAGCACTTAATCGATTTGTACCTATAAATGCTTATTTGCTAAGCGGTTGTCTGATTTTGGTAAATTGTCTTTTAATCTAAATTATGTAGATCTACTAATTTCTGCTTATTAATTAAATTAGATTAATTCATTAACTTTTAGTGTCCCTCTTTAAAATATTTACTTTTTGGAGATATTATTATTTAAATGAACCACTTAACTTATTCCAATTAATTGGGCCAGCCCTTTTACGTTAATTTTAGTTGTATTTGGACCCAATTTTATTGTCAAAAGCTTATTATTTTGTATTGGATCATTAAATGTTTTTATAAGCACTTATTTTTGTATTTTTCATTTTATATCATTTTTAATTCAGCAAATTAAAAATGTACATAAAAAATCAAAATAATCGTTCCTATAACGAATATCTATATTAATAATTGAAAGGAAGTCACAAGCAGAAGTATATATAAACTTGTTTTAAGAATTAAAATAAAAATATGTAACTTTATTTAAATTTTTAATTTGATATTAAATTGTTGTCAATTATTTAACTATGGATTTAACTTTTCAATTGATTTGCTCACATACTATTCAAATGTATGTGTTTAGTTCTTGAATTTTATTTGTATTTCCCAATATTATAATTAATATATGAAAGTTGTTGAATGTTTCATTTTCATTATAAACTCATCTATAATTAAAGGGTTTTATAATTAGTGAGAATTTGTAACAATTTAATTATTTCTATCTGCGTTGTTTCATTACACGTTATCGGCACGTACGCTCTATAAAGATTATCAACATAACAAACCATTGTTTCTTCTATGAGATAATCAAGCATATTGCTCGTTTACACTACTACTTTGTGAATTAAATTAAATACAGTTCCTGTTATTTTACCATTGGTATTCTAATGAACTCTGAAATCTTGATTAACTGATTAAGATTATATTGTTGCACATTATGCTTTCACATTTAGAACATATACTTAATGAATATCGTGTCATATTTGTTAATTTAGAGCATATGCTTAAATTATTTTATTTTCTTAGAAAAAAATAAAAATGAGAGAACAAGGACTAAAATACCATTGATTTTTAACGACGATTAGGTTAATAAAGTCAGGTTAAGGAACCCAATCTAAAGCAAAAGTGAAACCACAATAAGTTTTGATGTAATCATTTTGTTTGGGGATCCAATTTATAATTTTACATAACTGTAGGGATGAAATTCGTAATTTACTCTAATTTTATATTTGGCATGTTAATAAACTTAGATCAATGTTGCTTGATTTTTTTTTCCTATAATTATTTTAAAATAACTGAATTTGGGCCAGTAATTTGAATTTAGGCATTTTAATTATGTTAGTTAAATTATTTCATTGGGTATGTTATTCAATTGTTTTTCACTTATCGACATTTAATTTGATATTGATTTTAATTCAAACTCTCACAGTATTATTATCAGACTTATATTTTTAATTGATTATATGTTTACTTTTAATTGGTAATATAACAAATGATGGAGGCTTTGCACCACTCTTTAATGGTATCCTTCTCAGCCTTGAGTTCAGCAATAGCTTTCTCACGCTCAGCGATAGCCTACTCGCGTTCGATCAAGATTAAGATTTTTAGCTTTGGACATGCCATTCAAAGCATTGTAAAGGTCAACCGTCAGCGTATCTAGTGCAGATAGGCTATTAGAAGAAGAAGAAGATGGTTCATTTGGGGAACATACCCGAGTAGAAGTAGATGACGAGGGATCACTGAAGAATGATGTGTTTGATAGTTCATCTTTGACATCCTTGGCCATTAGACAGATATAGGTCGTATCTTCCTCGTTAGAGGATGATTCTTTAGAAGAATCAGCCCAGTCATGCTCTTCAGTGACAAGACCTTTGCCTTTACGCGGAAGATTCTTCATCTTCTTATACTTCTCCTTCATCTTCAGGTATTTATCATCTTTAGATTTGAAAGAGGATGGGAGCTTGGAAGATGGCGTCGCAGTCTTCTTAGACCTACATTTACTAGAAAAGTGACCTTTGCGTTGGCAGTTGTAGCATATCGCTGAAGCCTTGTCAATGGTATTTGACTTTGGATTTTTAGAAAGGGTCAGCGATGGAGATCTGTGGTAATTACTTTTTCTGGAAAACCTCCTAAAGGAGTTAGTTAGAAGAGCAGTGACTCATCAAACTCTAAAAGATCAGCGTCTGACAAGCCCTCAGAGTTAGAAGGATCTAACTTAGTGATAGATGCAGAAATAGAAGAAATAGAAGGGTTAGCTGAAGGGCTATCAGAGATGAAAGCTAACGGAGAGATTTTCATTTCTCTAGAATCTTTAAGAAAATTCTTCTTCAGTTGATAGGATTGCTCATGATTAAGCAATATCCCATAAAGAGAACTAAAAGAGAGGGATAACAGTTTCTTGGACATTTTGAGACACATGGTATATTGATCCCATGATTCTGGCAAACATTCTAGGAACTTTGTCAGCGTCTATGATTTGAAATATTCTCTTCCAATTGTCTTAAAATCAATAAGAAGACAATTAAAACGTTAATGTACTTCAGACAAAGTTTTAGTCTTTCCACAAAGAAAGCTTTCATATTGTCTTACTAGATTTATCTTCCTCAATTCTTGAACTTCTAAAGTACCTTCATATTGAACACATAAAGTGTCCCACATGGATTTCGAGGTTTTAAGCTTCATCATTGAGTGATAAACCTCGTCACAAAAAGCCATGGCTATTATAGACCTCGCACGAGTGTCTACATCCATCTTCTTCTTGTCTTCATCACTCCATTGATGAGGGAGCTTTAGAATCTGCCGTTCAGGAATCGCGGCAGTTGTAGCAGTTGCAGGAACTGCTGTAGAAATTACAAATGGAACATAAGGTCCATTATAAATATAGTATGGGATCTCAAGATTTACACCTTCAAGAATAGAGACATCCAATTCTTCCAGAGACTAAAGTTGTCTCTGATGAAACAGGGAGGTTTGGCAAGAGAGCTATTATCGTGAAAGTTGGTGCTAGTGTTTTTGCAAAACCATTTTAATAGGAATAAATTATCTATAGAAGAAGAGATAATAAAATACCAATAAAACAACACTAAAAGAAAACACTGCTCTTATACCACTTGTTGGTCCTAGTCGGATCTACAAGAGTGATAGGTAATCAGTTTGTAGGGGAGGGATGAATACAAACACATAAACTTTCACTTTTAAAAATTATATATTGATAAAGAAGATCAATACATGGACACTGAAGTTTGCATCTTACTTGTCCAGCTTACCAACTTTTCACCTAGAAGCTGACAGCCTCTAGTGGGACTTTTCCTATCAATCTTGCAACCTGCAAAATCACTATCCGCATAACCAATTAGGTCAAAACCTGAGTCTTGGGGATACCAAAGGCCCAGATTAGGAATACCCTTAAGATATATGAATATACATTTTACAGCAATCAGATGGGATTCTTTGGGTTCAGAGTGATATCTTGCATATAGATAAGTAGAATACATGATATCAGGTCGGCTAGGTATAAGATACAACAAGGAGCCGATCTTTCCTCTGTAAGTAGTTACGTTTACAGTCTTTCCATTTGGATCCTTGTTCAGCGAGAGAGGAGGAACCATTGGAGTCGTCATAGATGAACTGTTGGTTAAGTAGAATTTCTTCAACATATCCCTAACATATTTACTCTGATTGATAAAGATGCCTTTATCAGATTGTTTAATCTGAAGACCTAGAAAGTAAGTTAGTTCTTCCATCTTATTCATCTGATATTCTCTCTTCATGTGTTCAGTGAACCGATAAAAGAAAGAGAGATTAGTGGAACCAAATATAATATCATCGACCTAGTTTAGGTTAGTGATAGCCTCACTGATTTTTTTGGGTTCAACTAGTGAAAGGAAGTTGACAAAGAGATAGATATTAGCTAGACCATGACGAGTCTGAATACATGCACTTGGATCACGAAGAATTTTATTGATGGGATGATCTTTCATCCATTGTTGAGTTGGTAAATGATATAGATTATCACCTTCTGAGTTTAGGGGCTTAGGTAGAGAAGATGAGGCTTCATCAAGAGAGTCTTCAGCAACAACTTGAATTCCCAAATGAGCCTCAGTGAGCGATTCATTTACTGATAGAGGTGTAGTGACTGAAGGAGCTTCAAGGACTGAAGGGTCAGTATTTGAAGTAGAAGGGGGCAAGTGACTAATGGGAATGCCAACAATCCCTAAAGAGGATTCAACTTTGTTATTAGTCGCTTCTGGAATGATGAATGGATCATCGTCAGCCTCAGGGAGGTCAACGTTCGGTTGATTGCTGAA